GGGAGAGCCTGCGGCTGCAGCGGAGCGGCCGGGGCAGCGGCGCCGCGGCGCGGTGGGAGCGCGCAGAGCAGTGCAGAGCGTCACCGAGCAGAGCAGAGCAGCGTGGAGCAGCGTGGAGCAGAGCAGAGCAGAGCGGGGCAGAGCAGAGTGTCACCGAGCAGAGCAGAGCAGCGTGGAGCAGCGCGGAGCAGAGCAGAGCGGAGCGGAGCAAAGCAGAGTGTCACAGAGCAGAGCAGAGCGAAGCAGAGCAGCGCGGAGCAGCATAGAGCAAAGCAAAGCAGAGCAAAGCAGAGCAGAGCATCACAATGCAGAGCAGCACAGGGCAGCGCAGAGCGTCGCAGAGCAGAGCATCACAGAACAGAGTAGAGCAGTGTCGAGCAGCACAGGGCAGCGCAGAGCAGAGCATCACAGGACAGTGCAGAGCAGAGCAGCACAAGGGCTCAGCACAGGGGCGAAGGGGCCCACGCGTCGCCCCGCGCTTGGCCGCGGTGTCCCCACGCGCTCGCGCAGCCGCTCGCCCCGGCCCGGGCGCTGTGCGGGCGCGGGAGGCGCCCGGGCGCTGCCCGCGGGGCGCATGCGGCAGTTGGGTCTCTCTGCTTGCACACAGTCTGCTCCACGGCTGCGTTCGCTCTGCAGGGAAGGCAGAGCTGGGCCGGGGCAGGCGCAGCAACACGCCCATCCAACCCCTCCAACCCACCTTTGCTCAAACCCACCTTGGGGTGTCACCGAGGGGCAAGAGGGGAAGATCTGGGTAGTTTGTGGGGGAGGCTGTTGCCACAAGTGCTCCTGTTGCATTCAGGTTGCAGAGCAGCAGGGACCCCAGGAAGCGCCCGCAGGAGCCCTTGTCACCCAGACACAGTGACAGCCCCCCTCCTCGCTGGCATCATTCGAGTTACTGGGCAAAAGTGTAAAATGCAAGTCCACGAGCTTAATGTGCCTCTCCCCTTGTGTTTCTGATCCGCAGATCTATTATAAGGTTATTAAAGAGATTGAGCCGGGAGAGGAGCTGCTGGCGTTCGTGAAGGAAGGAGGCTACGCGCTGGGGAACATGGCCCCCGGCGTGGAAGGTGAGGCCGGTCCCTGGGCGCCGCGACGGCTCCCTCCTCTCGTTGCCTTTTGCAAACTCCATTCTGTAATATATTCCTTCTATCGGTTCTTTGTGAAGTATTTGTTGCAAATATTGCTTTACCTAATTAAGTGCTGAGAATTAAGTTAGCTCACCTGGACAGCCTGATATAAGTGTGAAATAAATACATTTGGAGTCGTTCACCTGTACATGAATAAAATCTGCAGATTCAGATTTGCAGTGAAACCCTAAGGTAATAGGTAGGATGCACTTTTTTGCACTGACCCCAAAATGTTTGTCTAAAAATGGATATTTTGGGGATTAGGGCTACTGCAAGCCCCTTGCTGAAGGTTCGTGTGTGCCTCGGGCAGTGCAAGGCCTGCGGCCTCACCAAGGATTTCACGTTTGGAGGTGTTTCTCCAGTGTTTTCCCAAGACCTTGGTAGCTTTCTGGAGAACAACACACAGACATGAAGATGTGAGTCATTTCTGTGTTCACAGTGACGAGAATAACACATAGCTTCCTTCATATCGGGGAGAAATCAGAAGGAAAACTTCCATGGCTTTGCATTTCTGTTCGTAACTGGCCTTTTTTGGAACAAACAGAAAGTGCCCCTTGTTACCTGTAACACCGCAGCTTTGTCACTGTGCAGCATTCATCTGTGTCTTCCAGGTTATGTCGAGAGGTTTTGCCACCAGATTGCTTTTAGATGATAATAGGCCACCATTAAACATTTGACTTTTTAATACTTTTTACTTGCAGTGAAGCTATCTTCCTGCTGCCTCTCACCCCCTTTCGACTCTGAATTAACAAGAGAGAGAATGCAAAATTGTTCCACACAAAGATAATTATCATAAAAATCTTTTATCCAGCCCCAGCCAAACACAGCAGACCCCTTATCACTGCAGGAATTTTGAGTAGGGCTCTTGAACTCCTTTGAGACTCGAGCCTGGTAGATTAGCATGTAGATGCCACATAATTGTGTTCCCCTTGGTTTCCCTGAAAGCTATTAGGCACTGATTTTTTTTTCTGCTACATTCCTTCTTTGTCCTGAGTGTTACTGATGGAACTTAAGATAGACACGTATAACCATAGATTTGACAAACAAGACATAGAGAACAGGCAGCAATTTTTTTTTGTAAGTGGATTTTTCTTTTCTTTTCATCCCGTTCTCCCTGCGAGGTGCAGTAACCTTTTCTGAAGGGCAGCATTTTTAGGTGTTTTTTGCTGAAAGAAAGAGAAAGAACTTGAACAAACGGGAATTCCGCGGAGCGGGTGCCTGGAGCCAGGGCCCCCAGCGGTACCGGGAGCTGCTCGTGGCGGCGCAGCACGTGGGGCAGCACGAGGGCTGCAGCCCCCGTGGCCGCTGAAACGGGCCGGGGCCGGGGCCGGCTCCGCGCTCCCTCGCAGGACCCGTTCCCTGGAACATTCACAGCTCGGAGCCGATTGTTTGCCTTGGCTCCGTGGTCAGGATGCTGCCTTGTAAACTCAATAATAGCTGCCCTCTTTTTAATTTGTTTGACCTTGACTGCAGTAATTTATGAGACGCATTAGGTCTTTTTTAAAAAAACACGCGACAACAAAGGCTCTGGCTGCCTTTCCTTGCTTCCCGGCGCTCTGGTTCCGAACTCCTCCTGCCTGACTCGTTGTCGCTGTGCTTGTGCTCAGCCTTGGAGGACGGCGCAGGAGGGAATCCTGCAGGAGAGGTTTGCGCGGCCGGGAGCAGCAGCTCCCGTATCGGCGCCCGGGCTGGCTCCGTCCCTTCCCTTGCTCCAGCCCCTTGCAGGAGCAGCTCGCTGGTGTTTCTGCGGACGCCCTTGCTGCAAACGAGCAGACAAGCGAGCAAGGCGCCGCGCGGCCGGGCCGGGCTGCTCCAGCCCATCCAGCGGCTCCCAGGTCTCGCAGAGCCGGAGCGGGGCCGCGCTGGGAGAGCCACCGCTCCCCTGCCGCTGTGATGTAGTTCAGTGCTCAAAGTGAAACCGTTTTGCTCTCTCAGCAGGCCCCGGCACCTTGGTTTCTCTCTCCTCTCACTTGCACATCTGCTGCTTTCTTTTCTTTTAGACCCCCTTCTAAAAGGTGTTGTGTGTTCTCTGCCAGCCCCATATCGGCGGCGTAGCCCGACGCGTGGAGCGTCGCGACGCGCGGGCCGAGCTCACGCTGTGTCTCTGTTCTAGAGGAGCGCACGTTCCGCTGCGAGGACTGCGACGAGCTCTTCCAGTCCAAGCTGGAGCTGCGGCGGCACAAGAAGTACGCGTGCGGCGCGGCGGGCGCGCGCTTTAGAGGGCCCCGCCGGGGCAC